CTCGCATCCGGCTAACACTCATCTCCCTGACAGACTACTCGCCCGCCTACCCCGAATGCCATTCCCACAGACAAACTCATCCACAGTCGATGATTCGCCGTTTGACCTTTCTGCGACTCTTGCCCGCATTGCCACCCTACAGTCCCAGTTGACGACAAACCTCCAATCTGCGCAGCTTCTCCGGCGGCAGATCAAGCGAGAGAAACTCGCCCTGAAGAGGGACCGCGCTCAATTGAAAGCGCTCGAGGAAGGCTTCAAAGGCAGCGAGGCGCTGAGACGGAAGAAGGAGAGGGGCCTGCACCCGATAGCGAAGAACTTGCACAGGGGAGAAGACGAGGACGCGGGCGGCAGGAAAGCTGAGCTGCGGGAGGACGTCGAGCGCGTCAACAACATTGCAGGAATCTTGCCCGTGGGTCAGAGAACATCCGCCATGTCGGAGTCAAAGACCCGCTCGCCTCCAACACTGAGCCCTGGCTCAGACGACGACCCGGAATTGAATTCGCTGCTCAACCAATTGCGGAGCCATCTCGTCAGCATGCAGAACAATACGGCAAGCATGCTGCCTGTATTAGCGGCAATGGATGAGACCAAGGTCACACTGGACAAATTTGCTGCCCGCCACGGGATCGGAAATAGTCTTGCAAACACTTGACTTGCAGGTGATGTCGTTCCTGGAGAACATCTCCTCACAAAAATGGGGATGATTGCAAAACCTCTCGCCCATCTTGCTATGCCCGCAGCGTCTCTGCGAGACCTTACATTCCGGCAAATGTCGAGGTCACAAAAGATCGGTGGATCTCGGTCGCGAGATATTGTCTCCCTACCCTGCTGGTATCGCGTTGAACTGGAGAGCCCAGGGGAGACTGGGCGACCTACAAGGATACGTCCAGGTCCGCGTACCCCTAAGCAGAGCAGTTGCAAACCCTCAATTGCTCTGGCTCTGGGTCTGGCTCTGGTTTCCCAGCAAGTATACAATCCAGAAAGGCTGCCTGATTTTCTGGCGACAAGCGAGCTATGTACTGTAGCACAGTACATAGAATACCGCTTCTCCAACTTCAAGTTCAACGAGGACGAGGATACAAGACGGAGAGAGCATCAGGTGCAACCACTACTGCGACCTCGTACACACCTCCAAATTCGCTCGATTTCGAAGGATCACGGCCCGATTGTCCGGTTCCATAGTCAGCCGTCTGTCTGTCTGTCTGTCTGTCTGTACGACGAGCCATGTGTATGAACTTGGCCCTTCTTGACCAGCCTCACGGGGACAGCCCCTAAAGGGTCTTCAAAGAGACTCCCAATGTGGATCTGTACAATATCACGAAATTATTCCAATGTTATGACGAACATTCTATTTCATCCCACCATTATTCATTCCTATTGTTGACCCTGTTTTGCTGCTTTGGGTGAAAGAGAGAGAGGGGTCCGACAACAGGGTTAATCGTGCTGTTCAATCATGATGCGTCCGTGCGTGATTGTCCTGTTGACTCGTTACCTGCCGTGTCCGCTGTGTCCCCTGAACCTCCATTAATCGTACCGAGATAGCTGGGTATATTAGTACATAGAGAGACCACCTCCACCCGACCGTGGTCCTGCCCTGCCCTCTCCTGACATCCCCTACCAAGCCAAACTTTTCCAATAACCTGCCAAGTACACACTACAGCGTGCGCACGCCCAGGCCCGCTCCCAGGACCGCGGCGTCGATGAGTCCAGACCTGTGTCGACCGGGCGCGAACCGGCGCATGACAAACCAGAAAAAGAAGACGGCCACCATCTATCAAGGACGTTGCCCCTAGTCAGCCAGAGGACATTAACGGAGCTAAGGAGGTATTGGCACCTCCGGGCGGGCCGTATACGGGAGGTTTGGTATATGATAGGGGTTTGGTAAGGGAGATTGACGAGTGTGGAGGCTTTTTGGGCCGAATGGGCGGGAGGATCGCGAAGGGAAGGAATTGAGGGAAACGACAAGAAAAAAAAACCCTTCCGGTATATATAACATGGTCTGGGTTGGTTTCCCAATTGAGGGAGGAAAGGAAGAGAGAGGGACAATTCACATACCAAAGGGACCGCAGCGATGAAATACCACTTCAAACTCGGGTACTCGCTCAGAGCATCGACATTCATACCGAACGCGCCGACCAAGAACGTCAACGGCAGGAAGATGAAGGTAATCCAACTCAGCCGCCACAGACTGGCATTGAGTTCGAGCGACTGTTTCGAGTCTCGGATTGTGACAGACTTGTACATCTGTTAACAAGGCACACACCCCATTCCCGGCGAGAGCCGAGAGTAGAGCAGTGCAAAAGAATTAGTCAATATGTCTTTTTCCTCTTTCACATCCGCCATCCTAGCGCAAAGCCAGGTGGTTGGGCAGTGTATTGCAATTCATGGCAACGATGAAAAGAAACAGGAGAAGTGGATGCAAGAGTGAGTGAATGAGAACGAGGGTTCATACCAGGTCAATCATATGCTCCAGCGGCTCAAGGTAGTCCGTTCCAATGTTGTCAGCCAGAACCTCAAAGTCGTCCAGCAGTGGCGTCAACCAGGTAGTACTGCTGCCGCCACCGCTGCTGCGATCACGCCCACTGGACCTGTCTCGCCCCTCGTTTCCACCTCCGTCTTGATACCTCTCCAACTCGGCGAAAACGGCAAAGTCGTCCTGCACAGCCTCGACGACCTTGGAGTGCCGATTCACTAGCTTCAGCATGTTATGCAGCCTCTGCGACATGCCCCAGACGTCGCGGGCGCGGGTCGAATCGGATGGGTGGGCGTAGACATGGTCCTCTAGCAAGGCGTGGGGTTCGTGAATCAGCGCAATCTGGTCGCGCCAGAGCTGGTACAGGCCGTCGAAGATGTGTGAGAGCACCGCTTGAAGGGTGGGCGTCGATGCACACTTTCTTTCATCCGAAGCTGTGCTCTCTGTTTGGTCGCTAGAGGCAGAGGGTGGGAAAGCGCCCGGGTTCAGGCCTAGCAGCACATTGGCACTGACAATCTCGCCGGCCTCGCCGGACGAGTATTCACAAATAACAATGGTATCGCGCTTTGCCATGTCATGCAGGTGACGCGAGCCGGAATTGAATCGCGTGACTCGTGGTCCAGGTAAGGCTTGCGACGAGGCTCGCTGCATGTAGACTGAAATGCGCTGACGGTAGATAGAGGGTTTGGTGGGTTGCAACAGTTGATCATGCTGCGACGGATGATCATGTTCATCATGATGGTGATGGAGGTGATGTAGATGATGATGATGATGATGGTGGGATGGAGTCTCCTGACGAGGCACCACCAAGGACCCAAAATCCAGCCCGAACGCCATGCAGATGACGCCTCTAGCGATATCGAATGCCGGCCGCCATCGAATAGCCTTATGTGACGCCCGCCGCGTATCGCGGTCATCCTGCATCCAGTCACGAAAGCTCCGCTCGCCTGTCTCGGCGCTAGAGCCGCTGATACCAAACGCATTGCTCAGATAGTTAACTGCTTCTTCGTTGTTGCAGACATAGACCAGACGGAGCAGGGAATCGGGTTGCTCGTCCTCTTCCAGGTACTTTCGAAGACGGGAAACACTTTCGAACAGTTTTGGAGGTGCGCAGAGCAAGACACCCTCATCATCTTTGACACTAGTGTTAGACCATGGGAAGCGCAAACGGAACAAAGTGAATGGTGTGGAAGGGAGGTCCGCGCTAGGCCATGCCATTACATGGCCTATCTCGAGCAACAATACTTTACTTACCAATATCATATTCCAACACGTAGAGAGCCCGTCGCTTGAACAGCGGAGCCGGCTTCTGGGACAGGATCGCCGTCGCATGAGTCGTCGCTAGTCCAGCAGCATGCTTGAGGCCGGTATGCGCCCCAGGCTTGATTGCAGGCTTGATCCCGAACCACCGTCTGACGCGGTCGATTGGGCGATTGGCGCCGCCGCGGGCGACGAGGTCAGATGCTGAGCGCGTGATGTGGAGCTGTGCCTCTTCCGCATCGATGTCGGTGTTGACGCGCCGGAAAACGGCAGCTCGCTGCTCGATCTCGAGTTGCTGTTGCGGATCCGGCTCAGGGAAAGGGTTTTTGAATTCTACCGACTCCTGAACGAGGTCGTGTTCCTGCTCGCCAAAGTTGTCGTCCGAGTAACCCCTGACGCGCTGACCCGGGTGGACGTCGAGAGGACATGGGCAGGTGTCGGCCTGAGTTAACGAGGCGGCGACATTCTTGCACTGAGGCGGTTTGGAAAAGAAATCTTGCACGAACGACGTCGAGATGTCTTCCTCCCTGACCAGTGGCGGCCGCAAGGGTCGTCCTTCTTCAATGCGGATCGAAAGCTCGGCTCCCCTTTGGTGTCGATCTGTTGAGAACTTCCTCTGTTTCGCAGACCGTGTCGAGAGAATTGAGGACCTTCTTGAAGCCATTGCTGAGGGAATTTGAGCTGCCCTTTTCCATACTCTTTTATCTCAGGAACAGTCAGGACACATGTTGCAGTACATCACTGAATCCTCCTCTTTTGTGGCGCCAACAAGGCTGGCTCGGAGGTGACGATCTTGACCCGAAGCTTGATTGTGCGCAGGTGATGTGCATGAAGCCCCTGACAATAGGGGCTGCTGATCGGACCATCAAAACAGCCATTTTCGTCAGTGGCTAATGCCAGCCAACATACAATTGAGTTGGTCCGGTGTCATGGCAAGATTAGTCTGGGTGTAAAAAATATTGTGAAAACAGATGGAAAAGGATGGATGTGAGGTTTTGTGGGAATGGGGGGATCAACCTGTAAAGGCAATGACCACCACGACTAATTATCGACTATTGCGCATGACGAAACGACCGCCCGACGCTACCAAACAATGTCCTTGTCCTAAGATGTGGTCCTTGTCTTCAGTTACCGTTCCAGACAGCAAGCAAAACTCCAACTTGATGATTTACGTAGTTACACGCCTCAGGCTAGATCAAATTTTCAGCCTCCTTCACCAATAACTCCCCGACCACAAAGCCAACTGATTGATCATGGCCAAACGACTTCAAGGTCTGCCATATGCCTTTCGTGGAAACTCATCCCAGATACCCTTCATTTCCGTGACATCCAGGCCGTCTTCTTCTATCAAATGTCCTTGAAAGTCTACGTCTTGTCCATCCATCAGGCCCCGGAAGCGGCCCTTCATCCACTCGTCTCCGTCGAATTCCAGGTATCCATCGCAACCTCGTCCAAACTTCATGTCGCCGTCATCATCATCCTCCGACCTCCACCCGAACGAGACAGCGTTGTAAGGAGTGACGTGGGAGATATCGCCGGCGTGGAGAACCCCGGATTTAGAACCGATATTAAAGCGCCCCCAGAGTTTTTGTTTTCTGTGATCGACTTGGAGCGTGATATCAAAGGGATAAAATGGTTTTTGGTGGATTAGATAGGTGCCTGATATTTGGATGCCGGCAGAGCTGTTTGGAGAGTCGTCGGGCTCGTCATACCCCAGGGACTCGTACGCCGGCGGGGCGTCATCCATTTCGACGTCATGGTGGAAGGAGACGGGGGTATGGTCATAGATGTGTTGTGGAGGGTTTGAGATGGGTCGGGCGCTGGTATTACGAGGGAAAGGCTGGCTTCGTCTCGCAGTCTGTCGACTTCGTGGTGCTGAGGCTGAGGCTGTAGCCTTGGGTTTGGCAGGAGATTTTGGCGCAGATGCAGGCTTGGGAGTGGAAGAGGATGTTTTGGCACCTTTGGGCTTTTTGGCAGAAGAAGCATCAGAGGCAGCGGAGGCGCTGGATGCCTTCTTAGATTTGGTCGACTTCTTTGCCGCCTCGAGCGTGTCGCGGTCAATCTTGAGCTTCACGTCATCGATTTCCAGCTCGATGGTGGTTTTTGAGCAGCTGCGCCTCGTACCAGTGCGCGACCTGGTCCTTGGGCGTAGAGCCGCGTTTGGGTAGAAGCAGGTCCTTGAGGTCTGTTGTCGAGGCGCGAGGATGTCGTTTATTGGGCCCCAAGTCTACAAAGAGAGTGTCCCTGTAGACGAAATCGCCTCTTCTGACCTCTGTATTTTCCATCGCGGTCAGACTTTATGTCGAGGTGAGGGAGAAGGAGGAAGAGGAAGTGGTGGTGTTTGCGCTGACTTTGGTGAGGTATCGGGTACGGCCAGCCAAGCGGCGGATTGCCAGGCTGAAAGTCAAGGTGCGCTAACTCGGTCAGGCTGCATACATATTGGATGGATGCAGTCAGCAGTGCAACCACACGAGGAACAGAATTCCCTCTACCTCGTAATATTACCACGACCATACAAGCCCGGCCTATCCAAGACACAGGGATAGCTGCGTTCTTGATATCCTCTCATTCGACATATTTACTCCGCCGATCAACCAAACATTTCCAATTGCTGGCCCATCCATCATTCCTCCATCATCTTCCAGCCTCACGGAACCTCTTCTCTCCTCCCCCCTCTCCCCAGCTAGTCTCGACGACATCTACACTTTCACTCCTGCTTGTCGGCGACTCACTCCCTCGGCAGCTGCACACTCCTGTGCAAACCCCAAGCACCTCGTCATCCAGCCGCGGCCCCAGTAGCTCAGCTCGATACAATGCGGCGCACCCAGCACGATTCCGCTCTCGACCCTCGGACTTCCTGTAAAGTGCCGTGCAAAGTCCTGCATCGTCACCCTCGAGGCCTTCCATAAGGCATCGTGCTCGCCCATCCCATACATAATTGGCACCTTCACTTCCTTTGCATAACCCGCCCAGTAGTCCGCCCAGTGGAACGTGCCGTCCTCAAACTCTCCGAGGGACATGGAAGTATTCAAATAGGACCCCATCTCTAGGATCTCGGGAGGCGCCCTTCCCAGCTTGGGGTCGCCAAACATGGGGCCGTCTTTCACCTCCAAGGGCCAAAAAATCCGTCCGTCGACGACCCCGTTCTCAATAATGTGCATGGCACTTTCACGAGGACGACCATGTTCCGTGCCCCAGCCGGACATGATCAGCCCACCGAGTGGGTATTGAGGTTGAGGGTCATTTGCGTGGAGGGCAGAGGCCACGATAGAGCTTGGGGACCCCAAAGAGTGCGCCAGGATGACAATGGCGGTTGCTCCAGAGCTAAGCCCGAATTCTTGCCATACCTTGGGGAGGATGTGATGGTGAAGGTATTTGCCTTCTTCCTGGAGGAATGTTGATCCATCAGGCACCGGGGGAAGTCCTGTGCTCTCTTTGTACCCTGGACGGTCAATGGCTACGAAAGGCACCCCGAGTGATTCTGCCAGCCTTGTGGCGGACGTGGCTGTACCAGCGTCAAAGTACTTTGAAAAATACGTCCCGCCGTGTATCGCGACTACCAAGGGTTGATAGTCGGCAGTTTTTGACGCACGCGTCGGCACCGCGAGTATACCTGAAAGCTGAGCGCCATTTGTCAACGACAGAGTGAAGGGCTTCATATCGACCTTGGAAGCCAGTATTAGGTGAAGTTACAAGACCAAGTGACCAATCGGCGGTCGGCAAGGAAGTAAGCAGGAGAGCTCGCGAAGCCGCTGCTGTTGTTGTAGAGAAGCCGGCGAATGGGATTTCTTATCTGTCCACCGTCCTTATCGATGCTGACGATACGTGATGATCAAAATACAACTACCCCGTACTGTAGTAGCAAAGCCACAGCATGGCAAGCCTCGAGGCGTCCCGCAGGCTCGACGTACCGAGTACGGACCCGTCCCTGCCCCGATTCAGCGCGGAGCAATCGTGGAGAATTGTCGACGCTATTACCTCGTACTGATCCACCAATTGGGGATTGGACTCGTATCTGTGCCTCGCATGCGGGGATGGGCCCGTTTCGAGGCGACCCTCCAAGGCCCTTCCTCCAGATGGATAGCCGTGCGAGTCCAAGTTATCCCTTGGTGTATTCGAACATATCCGTCGCTCAAACGCATTCCCACGAAATCGTTAGTCGAATCATCCTCGGCGAATGCGCTGTTCTAGGGGCGCCTCGATATTGACGACATGCCTTGTCAAGGCACGGGTCGCAAAGGAGAATGTGGCACCAGACCCCTGCGACCATCTCTAGCTCATTTCCTGTAGAAAACGCGTCTGTATACGTTCAAAATGTATCAGTCTGGGGGTCGCAATAGAGATTGAGCTGGGCTTCAAGACTTTTTTCATTGGTAGGTGCAGAGTAAGCCGCTAACGCCCTGTAGAGAGGATACTGCGTTGTAAATGCCTTTCCCAGACGACTGTTTTCCTCCGCGTGTCTTCAATGTTTCTGGCCACACGGAATGAAAACCAATATTGTGATGCTTCCTGGTTGCACTTCCTCCAAGTATAAACAGCAACAAACCAGATTGCCATAACGATTGTGGTATCTCAAAAAACTGCAAACATGTAGGAACTTGCACATCAAATCTCGCCTATGTACTGCGGAATATGTATGCGCAGATCGTGAGATGCAGTTGTCCTAATTACTGACATAAAGAGCCGTCCCTGAAATCATCTCGCGTCGACAAGTGGCCTTGTTCCACGTGCCACCTCCCGATGTCAATGCTAATGTTGGACCACGTCGTGGTATATCTTGGAATCTTCGTTGAGTGCAGGCGTCGCTGGGAACTCTCCTGGAACATGGAATTCTCGGGTACCATTGTAGGCCTGCGCCGGCTTGACGACGTAATCCGTTGGCGCAGTCTTGGATGTTCTGGGGCCCGCGTAGATACCATTAGCGTCGAACATGGTGGGAGTAGCCACACCGTGACCCGTGCTTGTTGGCACCGTGGACAATGTTCCCGTCTCCGTTCCTGACGATACGGTATTTGCGACAGCCGAGCTGGGCGCTGTGGTTGTTTCACTCATTGCCAGCGGTCCAGACGGTGCATCGATTGGTGCCGCGGTTGCCACGGGTATGGGGGCTGAGGATTCTCCATATCGCGGGATCGCTGATTCACCATCTAGCCGTTGGGCATCCGTCTCAGTCTGTTTCTCGAGTTGATGCTCGTTGTGATGGTGCATAGCCCCAGCAGCTAATGCCGCCCCTCCTGCGCCTGCAGCAATCGGCGCCATCCATTCACCATATTGACTCGCGCCATCATGGGAAGGGTGTGGTTGACGATTGGGGAATATATTCGGATGGTGGCCCGGCGCATATTGGTTCGTTGTATTCATCTGCGAAGTCAGACCAGCAGGTGGATCAGCGTCTGGCTGGAGATCCGTGTGCTTTTCCGTGGTGTGGGCGAAAGGTACTCCGCTGCCTGGTAGAGCACCTGCTGCTGCTATGACATCACGGTCTGGGTCAGAACTCTCTCCACTAGAAGGGGACAGCGGAGCTTGCAAGCCGCGCTGTATGTTGAGATCAGATGGAAATCGCCCACCTGGTGCTGGTCGTTGTGGAGGACGCCATCCAGCTTCGGATCTGTTGTCCTCGATGTCGTTCAACGTAGCCGCACCGAGACCGCCGGCGCCGGCGGCAGTAGCAGCGGCAATGGCAGCTCCATCGGCAGATGTTCCTCGCACGGACTGTTCACCGGAAAATGCAATTCGATCAGCCTCATCATCCTCCATCTCGCCCTCCGAGCTCATAATGCTGGCAGGTTTGACACTGTTCCCGGAAAGCGATCGAGCGTGCTGCCTGCGGACAAACTCGTTGCGTTCTTCACCTCGCTTTTCAGTAAGCTCCTTGATGTCATTGAACCACGCTAACATGGTCTCGTGTGACTCGGCTCGGAAGACCCAGGCGTGCCCGCGATGCATCGAGCCGGTCTGTCGACCCTTGAGCATGAATTTATGCGACGAAGAGCCAGGCTCAGAATGAGCGCCCAGTTTCTGTTCGGGCAGATATAATGACATGACAGGCGACTGGAATGCAATTCGGTCTGCCGATTTGAACTCGTGTAGATGTGTCGGAGACAGCACGTACCTGATAGACGCAATCAGTATTTGGAGCCGCGAAATGGCTGCTAGATTTTACTCACCATCCAGGAGTGTAGTTCTTCAGGTATTTACTCTTCCGCTCAAGCATCCCGCTCCTTACTTCAATGGCGGCCGGATGATCTTTTCCGGGATAGATAATATGAGAGACTTGTCGAATGGGGATTCTTGGATCCACCATTTGATTGTTATTCCTGGTGAATTCGTCCCACTCATGGTCCTTGGTCATCGACAATGGTCCATCCTTGAGCTTCTCAGCTGTGTCATAGGCGTCGTCGGCTTCGCGGCGCAGGATGCCGGCAAGCACATTATACGCTTTCTGGATTTCGCCAACCACGATGGACTCCAACTCTCGACCAGACGCTTCGAGGTTGAGATAGGCCTGTTCATGTCAGCTCAAGCACTGCGACGCGACTCGGCAGGACATCCTACCCGATGCAAATAGTTCTCTTCATCGATTTGTTTCTCAATCTGCTTGTCGACGGCCATCTTGACCAAGAATGGGTCGCCCTTGCCTCCAGACGATGCTACCTCATGATCAACCATACCAAGAGATTCTTGCAAAGATTGGATCGCCCTCTTGGTGGCCTCTTTTTCCTTGTCTACTGAATTCTTAAAATCACCAGACAAGCTTTTGATCTCTTTAATCTTCTGTTGGAGGTCACTACGCAGACCCGTGAGTTGAATAATGACCTCATTCTCAAGGTCTCGAGCCTTGTTGGCTTCGTTAAGTCCTTGTTTGTGAAAGTCTCGAAGGATGTAGGCGGCGTCACCCAGACCACCAGATGTCAAGAAGTTGGAAGGGATTGTGGTGTTGTTGATAACGTTGGAGGTCGACATGAGGGCCTTTGCTCGAGTTTCATATGTCTTGTGCAGTTCTCGGAAGTAATTAATCAAATCCTTGAGTACTTTGCGCCACGCTGATCCAGATGTTAGCAGGGGACAATCTGTCGAGCCAAAAAGAGTAGACATACCTTGGAATCGCGCTGCGAGAAGCTCTGTGGGGTTTCCTGTGGTCGGAACTGGACAGTAGAAAACACTGTTGCTCTCTTCGGTTTCGCCATACTTCTCCTTTTCGGCCAGTGGCATGCTGCGCACTGAACCGGCGTAGCTGCTTCTCTTGCTAGCAGTCCTTTTCAGACTTGCGCTCTTGTGAAGAGAAGCCTTCTTCTTCAGTGTCCCACCTCTCGATGGTAGTAGAGTCTGCGACCCTGACATATGCGAGTTGCTCCGAGGAAGGTCTGGAGACTCCTGGTTTTGGTGGACGACTTCATCATGTAGATCGGCGGCTTGCGCTACGGAGGATGGATCCTGCAAAAGAGCAGCATGAGAGTGGTTTGGATGCGACAAGGTCTCTGTATGTTGGGTGCCGGCATAGGATACAGGTCGAGAAGATAGCCTGGCGCTCGGAGCTCGCGCGGAATGTATTGAGGCATCGGGATGAGCGCTTTGGACGGGCGAAACAGGAGTGATAGGTCTCGAGGACATGATGACAAGGTCCAGATAGGAACGTGAAAGCTCAGTTGCAGAGCTATCTGCGGGGCATTGAAGTTTGGGTACACCGGCGACTCTTGTTTGGGAGCTATGTCGTGAGCGGCATCTTGGAGCAGACAGAAGCGTTTCAAGTATGCACGACACCTATTTCGTGTAAGAGTGCAAAAGGTATGGACGGAATGCAAAGCAAGCTGGAAGGAAGCTGAGACGAGAGGAGTCGAGACTGGGGAAATGAGATGCGATGAGCCGTGCCAATATGGATGACGTCGGTTCTAGGAAGAACAAGAGTCAAGAGAGTTGGCGATGATGAGGGCAGTCGAGGGTGGGCGGGAGCGTCGACGTTGAGGTGGACAAAGGTCGAAAGGCAATAAAAACGGTGAAGTCAGTGCCCGCTTGGGAAGCTTTGGGTGGGTTCATTTGGGAGGTGGAGGCTTGGATTAGGGCCCTTGAGTTGTTCAGTGCCACCGGCACGGCGGGAACAAGTGGTCGAATCGCAAAAGGTGCAGGTGCTCAGTGGAGAGCCTGGAGGGAGAGGGGCCCAGGTCCGCCCGAGGATGATGGGAAGGGGGCGGTTGGTTAGTTGGTTAGTTGGAAGCTGGCCAAGGGAGCCTGGGTGACTAGAAGTAATCGGGGGCCTCCTCCTCGGCGGTTGGCGCGCAATGTTGCAGGCTCGAACTGCTGCTCGACATTGAGTGCTGAGCATTCAGCAAGCAGTGGAGTGACGAGGGGTCCTCCCGAGTCCTGACTGCCCAACCCAGCGAACACCTACATCAGACAATGGTGATGTAATTAATTACCCACCATGCACTTTGTGTCCTTTGCCTTGTCCTGCATTCTACTTGTATCTTTAAGTATTTATTTAGAAGAGATGTTTCCGAGAATACGATACCATGTGCCCAAGATGCCTTACTCAATCGCCGGTTGAGCATTGCCGAGGGTGGTCTCGCAGGATCAACCATGTCGACAAGCTCTCGTGGTAGTTAGCTGCTCCGCGATTGCGTCGCTAGCCACATGAACTATTTGAAGGAACCACTCACCCCGCCAAATACTGGATACCTACGAACAGCTTGCGTCTCCTAGGCGCGGCTGCCTCCCGATCCTGGGCATTCATCTTAACCCGAACCGGAAGAGAGCTATCTAAGCAATGAGCACTGTGCTATCAAGGCATGCAGGACGCCACGGGAAGACTCGCACGAGAGAAAAAACATGCTCCAAGTGATAGTGACCGGGTGCCGGGTCAACTGGGAGGGTACTCGGTATACCTGGGCAATTGTTCGCTTTGCATATTGCGGTGGCTGGGCCAGTGGCGTTACCTGGCGATCATGTCAAGATGGCTTGATTGTCCAGCCACCTTCCCAATAGGCAAAAGCTCAGGAAATCGGCACATCAGTCATCAATCGTTCATCTTTGCGTTTTGCCCAGAACAATGAGCTCCTCCACTGATCGGCCATTGCGCTGGTCCGTTGCAGCACTGTACGGCGCACTTGGTCAGCTCTCGAGAAGCTCTTCTTTGGCTAGCCCAGTTCGAGAAGTACAACTGAGCTGAACAAGCGCCTCTTCATGCGCCACGAGGGAACTCAACAACTACGTCCATTCTACACGTTGTGGCGTGATTGCTAGGGATCAGCGCGGATAAGTGACTCCTCGGATCCAGGCAATGGTTGCTTTTGAGCCAACCCGGTGTGCCCGGTCCTGATGGGTCACCTCATACGAATATAGTGGCAGCTTGCTCAAGCCACTTTGTCTGAATGAAGTCGACTAAGAGCATTCAAAATTTCCAGATGAAGCCAACATTTTCTTACAAGTTCCCAGTCCCTCCATGTGGTCAAATTTTGTTCCTCTTAGGTTAGACTCGCTTACTGACATCTGTCGTTTGTGAGCTCATCACCTGGTACCTAATCAGTTTTGTCATCATTCAACCACGTTTTCACTTGCTGCTCTCATCAAAGGAGTGCTGGCGATGGGTGTGTTGGGAGTGAGCCATGATGATGAATAAGCTGTGATCTTTCACATGATTCCAGCCACAAGATATTTTTGGTAACCTCTTCTTTCGTGTTTGAAAATGAATACAGGTGAACCTCTCGGAACTGCTTGATATACCGGGCTATGTACAAATGTTTTCGGCTCCATTGGTTTATCCTTTAAAAAAACAACTATGCAGATGGTGGAACATGTCTGCTTGCATGCCTTCTCTTGCACGGCTGGAAGGGTCAATCTGTAGTCTCGTTCGCTACCGCAATGCAACAGCGCGAACCTCATCATCCGAACCCAATAACGGTGTGGAGGATGAAAAGGCGGCGTATCATGCCCCAGGTGCGGCCTTGCTTTCGTAGTAAGGTGCCGGAACATCGATTCCGTATCTTTCTTTAATTCTCTGCTTCCGCCTTTCCTCGTATCCGGGCCCGTAGATACCTGACACCGCGTGAATCAGTCGCTTGCAAAGGTTATCATGTTGAGCGTCCTTACCTCGTCCTTCTCCCAACTCATTGATTGTTTCGTTGAGAGGTCTTCTAAATCGAGCTCTGGCCTCCTCTTTATATGTCATCCGGTCATCGAAGGCCTTGTCTGAAGACGATTCGAATATGGAGCGGCCAGTGTAGCTGATCACTCCCATCGCGGTACCGAGGGCCAAAGCACTGCCAAGCGTCGAAGTCATTGAACGCCCTGCTCGTCAGTCAGCCATAGCCCAATACATCCTGTTGCGCATTCCGTACTCCAGAGGCCGTTCAAAGAGCCAGCAATGGTACCGCCAATTACGTGGTTGATGTAATCATTCTTCTCTCGTAGGTTTGCAGAAGCCGTGCTTGCGAACTGGAATGTTCCGCCCATAGCCGCTAGAAACCATCAGATTCTGTTTTCCTTCAATTGCCATGCAAAGATTCCAATCATACTGAGTAGGCCAATGGTCCTGCCAAAACGTGTAAACACCCCGAAAGCACCAATCTGTTCCTTCGCGACAGTGTTCTGGACGGAAGCGATGAAGAGCCCAGCAGCGCCAGTTAATGCAGCTGAGCGCGCCGAGAGACCCAACGCATCCCGAGGTTGGTAAACAGGCTCGTCGACATCGTAATTAGGCTTGGGGTCCACCAAGTCCCCCATGGCTGCGGTCCTGGTTGCTAGAATTGAGAGCAACCAGGTTCAAGTCATCCGTAGCTTAGGCAAGGTGCTATCGACTCGGGGGACGCGGAGTAAAGGTCAAGAATTTGCTGTAGACTGAGAAGTTGGCTCCTTGTAGATGTGAGAATTATGGCATCTCGTCCATGGTAAAGCTCTCGCCAGAGGTCGGAGAAGCGCAGTCTTGGCGTCTGTGGTTTTCCAGAAGTAGGAAATGCTCGAAGCCGCTTTTATCCAGGTTAACCTTCCACCTTACTCCTTACTCCCCTATTATTTAGACACATCGCTGGCCAGGATATGGGCTCCTATGCCTCATCACAAGCTAAGTCATCAGAATGACTTCATTACCTACACAATCGGTCTAGTTCTGGTGCCGTAGGTCACACATTTTATCATGATCACCAAAACCATTTCTCTGGCTTTCTAGCACTTTGCGCGGACATGCGGTAACTATGTTCTCATGTACTTCTCTAAATCTGGTCGTCCACCTTGGTGGGAAGTTTTAATGCAACTGCGACTATACGACACCATTCAGAAGACGGCGCACTTTGTATATAGAAAGCTATAGTACCGAGTACCGAGTACATAGAGAGGTATCAGCAAGACGAGGCAGGCCGCTCTTCTGGTGTCGTTAGTGGCAAGTCTGCCGAGTATATTAAACTCTAAAACCTTGGCAATGGAAGCGACGCCGCCCTTACGCGTTGCCCAGATCTGGGAATCTACGGGCTCTCGAGTCGCATATGCATTTTCGCCGTTCGCAGGCTGCTACGAATTCATACTCCTCCCAGTTATGGCAGAACATTCTGAACTCTTCTGACACCTAGCATATTGACCGCCCTTATGACTTAGACTGTCTAGCACCGCTTCTGTCACTGCTCGACAGGACACTGCGTTGGGGACGGTCTTGGGGAGTTGTTCTGTTCAGTTCTCTGCTTCATTTCTCGAATCCCAAGTTCGACCGTTCAGCCGCAGTAGTTACCCGGTCCCAATCTCCTTCGCTCGCATGAGACTAGATCATACGTATCCTGCTTTGTCTAGATCCAGCCACGAGACAATTGCACGCCTGCACTCATTGCTGGCTTGAAGAGCTGGTCGATTGCCTTCGGACCGATTTGCATGGCCGGGGTGCAGAGCAACATTCGGTCCTTCATTGCGCCGATCAAAGGATCTGGTGCGTAGACAAGAGATAAAAGCGAGGAGGTCATGTATAGTGACGAGATACCACAGGTCGAACCGCCCCGGCATTGCTCGAGGATTTAACACTCTACGAACCATGGCGAGACTCCGAAGACCTTCCGAACCTGCTGGCTGATTCGCCTCTCAAGTTCAGTCAAGCACCCTATCTGGCAGACTTCCTACCTCTCGAGAGCTGCAGGCATAAATTTGGTTTGAAGCCGAGACAATCTGATCCCCCCGCATTGGATGAGAAACCCGGTCCGCAGACAATATGGACTGTCGCAGCATTCTGTCAGGTTTGCCGCGTCCATCTTCACGTCAAGGTCGATTACACCATCAGATTCGATGATGGCCCCTGCCCAACTGTCGAGCATCCTCTGCATCACCTGGTGAGGTCAGACTTTCAAGAGCCGTTGGAGAGGAATGCGTGGCTGCGCAAGAACCCGAACTCTCAAGATGAGATATACACCTACAAATGCTCTTCTCCTACCTGTTCCGCCATCGTTACCGTACGATATAGCCCCCCGGTCCTGCGCCCCAGCGACATCCACACGCTGATCGATCCTGCGCTGCTTCGCCAGAGAACAGAAGATGCTTTCCGCGAGCGGGAAGGCCATACGGAGGGGATGCGACACCCAGGGCCAATGGATGTCCTGTTGGATCTTCGAGCATATCTGAGAAACTCCTGGCGTGCAAGAGACGATGCAAAGTACAGGTCAATCAATCTCTCAAACCGGAGATTTATTGTCCGATTTGGACCAGAGGGAAATGCTTGCAAGGAGGTCCTGGAGCATCTCGGCTTCCAGCTTGTGGTAGGTGGAGAAGCTGCAGATTCTGACCCACGTATACTGACTCCGTGTTTGCCAGCCTGGGGATTGCTGGATGGTGCCAGAACCCAATTTCGAAGAAAATCTACCATACCAGAGTCCCGTCAATATCTGGCTAGACAATGCCGAGCACGAGTTAACTGCTCTCCTTCTATCGCGTCCCTACGAAGAGCGGCAGCAATTGCAAGATGTCACCCCTCCTCTTCCTGCTGAAAGGGAGCTTTCACGGGCCCTAGGGTGTCAGGACTGTGCGTCGCCTACCTGCATTTGCGTGAGTTGCGCTAACACATGGCAGATGACACACATCCTGGCAGCAGAACTACTAGGATCTCTCCTGAGATGAGAACTCCGTACAGGCATCCCCTTTCCTTTACCTCGCGAGGCAGGCTAACGTGGAGGTAGTCCTTTCACTGCGCTCGGTTGCCCTATGGATTTGTCGGACCAACTCGTCGCCAAAGCCTACCACTGGCAAGTGCAAGCAGATCGCCAAAATTCACACGTCTACCTCAGTAACCTCAAGTACATTGGAAATCAGCGCCAGAGTGAGCTTTTACAGACCGAAGTTGTATTAGAGACATCACGGGGCCAGTATGATGCGGAGATGTTGGAAGAAGCATACAAAGCCTTCCATCTCAGCGGATCTGGCGGTTCGGTCAGTGATGAACACATTATCGGCTCATTCACAGCTCAACTGGCAGATTCACCAAGCCACGAACACCAACTCAGAGATTATCTCCGCATCATCGGAGTTCATCGTGACAGTAAACGCATCATGGACACTGCAATGAATAGTGAGTTGCGCCCGTCTCTCTCTGTTGAGATACATCTACTGACTATGTTACCACAGTTATTGACAGCTACGAGTCTGCGCTCGCCTTCCTAGATGCCGATCCCACCATCGAAGACGAGCACATACAAGCTCTGTTTGCCGTCAAGGTTTGTCCCCTACTTTTTTGTCAGTCGATCTGCGCTCATCTTACTTTCAGACAAATGACAACAAGGCTTTAGAAGAGCAAGCCATCCAAGCCGTTCGCGTAATTGCCCAACACCGCAAAAGCCGGTTTCTATCCAAGTGGATCGATTCAGGATTTTCAAACGACACTCACAACCAAATGGAGCCCGCCGAAGGTTACCAAGCCCTCCAGATCGACAATCGCGAGATCGATGATGAGATGATCCTGTATCAATATAATATAGCGGTCGAAGAAAATCCTGGCAGTGTGGAATACTACAACAGGGCGCTCGCCGCGATCGCCAAAGGTCGGAACAGCTCAATCTTGTTGGACCACCTACACAGCAGGGCTCCGCAAGAACCGCAGGGCAAGCCAGAAGAACCTGTTGGACTGGAAAATATTGGGAACACCTGCTATTTGAACAGCTTGTTGCAGTTCCTGTTTACGATGAACGAGGTGCGACAGTTGGTTCTCAACTTTGATGATTACAAGATGCCCTTGGATGAGAAGAGCATGGAGCAAAAGCGCGTTGGCCAGCGAAAAGTGAGCGTCAAGGAGGTCCAAACTGCACAGAAATTTGTCGCCAGCCTAGCGTCTCTGTTCCGTGGCATGATACAAACACCCCGTTCATCCATCAAGCCGGAGCAGGAGCTTGCGCGATTGACTCTGGAGACCGAAAGTGTCAAAGAAAAGATGCGACGAAGGTCCACCCTCAAGTCGAACGAGCGCCCCAGCTTAGGCTCGATCGGTACGCTGCCCGTTTCGGTTTCGTCTCCTGTGATTGACTCTGAAGCGAATGGGATCGCGGATACGATAATTATACAACCCAAACGCGACACTAATGCCACCAACATCGACCTACTACAGGATGTTGACGCTTCGAAGTTGGATGCGACAGAGGACACAAGTCCTGGCCAGCAAAACGTCGATGACCCCGCAACGAATGACAGTGCCAGTGATGTCACCCTGGTGTCCGCTTCTGACAGCGACGGGAATGCGTTGGTGGAACGAAACGAACATGTGTCAATGCTAGACAACAAGGAGAACGTGTCACCGCCTAAGCCTGCACCAAACACGGTAGCCCTATCTCCTTGGACTGGGCAGCCTCTCACGACAGTAATATCGAGAGATACCGATGAGAAAGTGTCCAGCATAAATCCCGAATTGTTGAAGTATGCGCCACCTCCTGGGAAGCCACCGCCGGTACCTCCACGGAAACCCATGCAGAATACCACTACCACCTTGGAAGAGTATGCGCGTCAACAAGATGTCACTGAGGTCATGAATCACTGTATCATTCAGTTGTCTTATGCCATGCGACCTACCGGTTTCGACAAGTCGGGAGAGCAACGCGACGAAGTACATGATTTATTCTTCGGGCAGCAGGTTGTCCACAGCCAACCGGAAAAAGAAGCACCAATGGTCTTACCTTTTTTGAATATCATCACGCGAGTGTTCCACCGACCTGCTGATGTATACGCTGCGATCGACAATGAGTTCGATCTCCAAGACGCACAAGACGGCGCAAAGGCGTATTCGGCCATCTCCAGTCTGCCGCCGGTTTTGAGCATTGCCTTGGACCGGGTGTCTTGGAATAACGAGACGAAACGTCAGGAGAAACTGAATTATCATGTCGACATCCCCGAAACCATCTACATGGATAGATACTTGGAAAGTTCACCTGGCTCTGATTTGATGCAAAGGCGACAGCAGACGTGGGAGATTAAGAGAGAATTAGCATTACTCGTCGCCCGGAGAGATGAGCTTGAGGAAAAATATGTAGGACAACACACTTCTCTTTTCTGGGACAGACACCGAAAGCTGACATCGTGCGCAGGGCAAATCTACAGATGTCCCTAGCCTTCTCGAAGACGCAAAAGCCATCCTGGAGTATCTGGCTGAAGTACCTGGAGATCAGGTATCAGGCGAACTCGATGTGAATCCCAACGCCATCACTACTCTCGGTATTTTAGCCGCAAATGCTCGTTCTGAGCTCGAACGTAAGAATTCTCTTCTTTCGCTGGGGCCACAAATGACTCACTTCTCTTGTTTATGACAGAAATTCGCTCTCGCATATCTCAACTCTCTCAACAAATCAAAGAATCCTTCGTTGACATGCGCAAACACCCTTACCGCCTGCACGCAGCGTTCTTCCACCGCGGTTCCGCTGGCGGAGGCCACTACTGGGTATACATATTCGACCACAAGAGAGAGGTGTGGCGGAAATACAATGACGATCGTGTCTCTACCGTCACCAATCTGAACGAGATTTTTGGAAATCCATACGCACAAACCCAAGTCCAAGGTCAACAACAGCCAGCCACCAGCAGTGGCCTGAACCCGCCTCCGAATCCGTACCTTTTGATCTATCTGGACGCAGACCGGATTGACGAGCTAGCGGAGACAGTCAAGCGAGAGATTGCGTATCCGCCTCCCGACGACCCTCCCCCACTCTCGTATCAGAGAGACAACCAGCCTCAAAGCCAGATGACAGCCATGCCACCCACCCAAAGATTAGACAATGGCGGAGACGTGACTATGCTGGAGTATGCCAATGGTGGTGAGCAGGCCCAACCCTCACGACCGGAGCCTTCCGCCACCCGCGACGCCTCCCGGCCAAAGGGCCCGAGCGTGCGGAAGGAAGGAAGTTGGGACAACAGCCAGCTGATGATGACGGACAGGAAGATTGACTGGTAACGACGCCGGTCAAGAGGCCGCGTGGTGGAATTTGCAGCCACTGCTGTGACACTGGAACAAAACACCCATTGGTTTTGGCCAGTCTCCTCAACGTTCATCAATCAATACACACCGACCTTTGTAAGAAGAGCAACTACAACAAACAACAAACCCCAACCCCAACCACAAAAGACCACACTTTGATTGCATTTTTGGTCACTGCAACCGTGGCCAGCGGGAGCGGCATAAGATGCGACGGACGGAAAACCCCAAGGGAGAACAGAGGGTCGTGTAACTAATGTAACTTGGACCGGCGTCAAATGAGAAGATCATCACACATACACACACATTCTTGCTTTGGATGGTGAATGTTGGTTTATTGGAGTACATCGACCTAGTATGCCTCAGGCGCTCTGACCACAGGAAAAGGCCAACGGCCATACCGTAAACAGCCCTTAGTTCTCTGTATATCCAAGCCTGAAAGCTGCCGAGTTGCTCTCAGCTGGACTGCATGACCACCCTGCGACTGCCAGGAATATCCTAGAAGTGGTCCCAGTAAGGATTTTTTTCGATCTGAATAACATACATACATACACACGGCCAGCCTTGTCGCCGTCAGCACCTTTTATTGGCGGTCAGCGCGCTCAAATACTGCGTGGCACACTGCGCGTCACTCTAGTTCGCAATGGTCCACTGTATATTCGCGGTGTTATCAGCCTCCCGCAGTCTTGCTTGCACGCTGCTATTTAATGGGTGCTTTGTGTAAGCTTGTGGTTGGTTTGTGGAGGAGACGTGTGCGAGTCCAGCTCGGCCATCGAGGCCCTCGAAGCCTTGAAGTTGAATTTGTTGTGCCAACTAGCTTCTTAAGGTGCATGCCTTTCATAGTGCCTCTACCGACGAAACCCTGCTCTCTTCAAACGAGATATGCTTCGTCTGGACGTCGTGACCTAGTGGGCAGCATCCCTGTGTTAGCTATGTGGTTGTTGTTGCAGGGCTGGGCGACGATTACCTTGACCACTTCTGGATTACTTCGAGCTGCCTCGCGTTGCCGCTGAGTACCCTCGAGTTTTGTCGGTTTGTGCGGTCGACGAATGATACTAGGCTTGAGAATGAGTCAGAGACAGCATGATCGAATTGGATCCACCGAAAGAAAACGTTGAAGTCTCACCCATTGTCTCCGTAGACCAGCTCAAACTGAGGTTTGCCAGACGTCGGCTTCGGTTGGTTTATCGCCCTGAGGAAGTTCATAAGCACCGATTTCTTGGGCATAGCGGTGGGTGACGAACCCTCTCTTGATGATTGCGTTGCAATTTTGATATTGCCACGTTTCGCATTGCCACGGCGTTGCGCTCGTGGATTCAGAAATCTTTCATCACTATCGGAGTTGTCCAATTGTCGTGTGCCACTGCGGGAGCCTGCACTGTGAAGGGCAGCACGACCTCTAATCTTGAGCCCTTCGGGGCGTAAACCACGGTTGGCCACTTCTTTTTCCCTCTGCTGCATACCTGAAGCGAGACTTAGATTGGTAATCTGGCCCGGGGCGAATGATCTCAGCGACCATCGTGCCGCCATGGCCTTGTTGGCTCGGGGACAATCGCCAACAAGATGGTTCTTACTTGCACAGACGCAGCAAGAGACCCAGAGCCTTGTAGGACCACTATCTGCCAATCCATAGGGTAAGAATCGTTGAGGACATGACTTCTCCGTATGATTCGAAGTTCCACAGATGTCACAAGGTATCGTGGTGACTCTCAAGTCTGTAGGGCAAGAGTCGGCAGTGTGTCCGCGGTCACGACAATTTGTGCAACGCTGAAACAGAGGGCAGAGACGGCTAGAGTGGCCAGCAGAGCAATGAATGCATGTGATTTCGGGACAGTTTCTCTCGGCGTGACCGGTTTGGAGACAACCCAGACAGACAGCAGGCTGGTTGAGATCGACCTTGTCGCGACTGACGTGGAAGAAAGCGTATTTCAGTTGAAGTTCAAGCTCGTCCGGACTCAAATCGGCCAGGTTTGGGCATGCTTGTACCCGACCGTCGACATCTTTGAGATGGGTGACGGTGCTAGAGAATCTCTCGAGATCGCCCTGTAACTGGTCATGAGCATCGCGTTCGGTAGAAGAGGGGGGTTGCGTTGTCTCTCTTGTAGACGCCTGAGACTCAGTATCCCCGTCTGCTTGTGAATGTGTTTCTCCCTCCTCTTCTTCGTCTTCGTCTTCTCCCTCCTTTTCGCCCATCTCTGCATCTCCCACGTCATGGCCATCAAGCATCATATCACCAGAGAATCGATGGTTTTGGGTGGGCTCAACGTTGATGACCATACCCCCATCAGACTCATCTTGCTCGTCAGAGATCTCGATCGCGTCGTCCATGGAATCTCCCAAGGGTATTGAGGCGTTCAAAGTACCATCGCGGTCGCTTGGAATGGGCTGCGATGCCTCAGACGCGGCTGGATGGGGCGCTGCACGGAAACCCGTAGCCAGTCTATTGTTCCCAAAGCCAGCGGGGAGGGAGGAGGTTGTTGTAGTGGTGGTGCCGGCAGCGACATTGTCGGTCGGCGACGCGAGGTTTGGTGGACCATCCTGGTTTGTGGCCGCGGGCGCCACGGTCTGCGAAGCCGCATTGCCCATAGTGGGAGATTGAGAGGAAAGTGAAGAATCAGTTGAAGGAACAGGTGCGGAGTGGACTTGACCTTTTTGTCTCGCATCGCGCATCAAACCGACGGTCGCGGTCCTCGACTCACTCTCGTTGTCATCGTCATCAGAAGATGTGAATTGCACCATCTGAGTTGGAAACGTCGTCATGAGGAGGGACAGGAAATGAAGGGATTCACTTTGTTTTTCACGCCTCTAGAAGCCGCCATTGCGAACCAGCCCGCCCGGAGGCGTCGAGGCTGCGTCTACTAATTATCGAGGACAGAGCCGCAAACAAGTGGAAGAGGAAGGTATACCGGGAGTCTAGTTCAATAATCGACTAGTTAGTTTTTACGACTAAAATCCCCCTTTTTGTATCACAGCCTTTCACAGATTTGTGTCCTTCCACCTTTTGATTCCTTGTTCATGTCTTCTACAGAGCCCAGGCTAGTACAGGTAAAACAAAATCAACACGTCGTACAGACTCGAGCCGAATTGTCCACAAAATACCAGCAAGTTGCAGGGAGAACTGGCACAATCTTCACCATTCCTGCAACATGGATATCTTTGACAGCGACATCCACCCTTTCACCCAACGCAATTATGCCCACATTGCCCTGAACTTCTCGTTAAACTCCTGCTGAAGGCTGGTGAACGCCATCAGAACGTGCATCAAGTTTCCGTCCTCGCCAAACTCGAACACCTCCGTCTCTGCCTTGGATGCCTTCGGCTGTTTCTTCGCATTCCTGGTATCGATCGCATGACCCTTCTTCTCCGCTTTGGCAGCTTTGAACGCGTCACCCATGGTCTCCGGGATGGCTCTGTTGGTTTCGGCCGAGTCGCCGTTGTCGCTCAATTCGTCTTGCCAACTGTCAACTTGCTTTGTCTTCCCAGGCCTAGATCCCGCCTTTGTAGCGGTAGATTCCTGCTTGGATGGTTCTCGACTTGACGGCGCCCATTGGCTGGGAGTGGCTTTGTTGTCCAGGCCGACTTCCACGGCTTTATCATCGAGCTCCGACTCGCGCACGTCACCAAAGCCCATGATATCGCCCGTCTCGTTCCCCGCTGACGAGGAGAGCTTCAGGAAATTTTCTAGACTGGTCACGATAGTGGCGAGGACGAGAGAAAAGTCGTTGAGAACAAACCAGATCTCTCCTTTGCGAATCCTATTCTCTTTCTCGAGGGCAACCACATTGCCATGTTTGAAGAAGTCGTAAAGGTAAGCATTCAACAGTGCAGCGCTCTCGTCAGGGTACGTCCCTACATAGGGAACCACGGCCTCCTCCAGCCAGACACCACTGCGGACCATCTTACACAAATCGGACACACTCTTCCACTCGTCTCGGTGGCCCGAGAGAGCAACGAAAGCTGAGTTGATGCGAGGTGGCGGGAGGCAAGAGACAGACACGCCGATATCCTCCAACGGCGTGTCGCCACCGCATTTCAGTCCAGTGAGTGGCAAGGTGTGGTCAGGTTCTCTGACGTGCTGGTCAATGTAGGTTGACACGTACGCAGCATATACGTCGAGTGTTTGGTCGTTGTGGGCCAACAGAATTCTCGCTGCCTCTTTTGGCAGAGGTGGAAGGATGACGAGTGAAGACGACCACCGTGCTCCGTTGCGGCGGGACTCCGAAACCGACTGTCTCAGGTACCGACGACCGAAAAGGTGCGACATGACAAGCATCAAGGTGTGTAAGTCTTGTCCCTTCTGACCATGGATTGGCCGACAAAGTCTGCTGAAATACCCGCTTTTGAGCAAGGCGTGGAAGGCAAAACTTGCATTTCCCGTGTAATACAGGTGAGACACACAACCAGTGAAGTTGAGAGGAGCACCAGAGACGTCCAACAGCTGGTTACGACGGAGGTATTCGATAGAGAACCGCAGATGATGCAGGACGGTATGTTTCGACTCTGGGCCTCCTAGGTAGATGCGCGGGGATGATAGGATCGAATTGATCGCCTTGACAGCATACGCAGCATGTTTTGATTCGTGCAGCAGGATGAAGAGACGTAACACCAGGGTAGTGGTGATGGGAAAGTGGCCGTTGAGGTCTGGGAGCCTCGAGCTGAGCAACCGGCAGACCTTTGAGTATGGGATTCCTTGGAAGACCACATTGCCCAGCACGTCGAACCCTCGCCGTCCCGCTCGACCCGCCGCCTGGCGAAAATTGAGGGCCGTCAGAAAGATCGAGTCTCCAGAGAAAACGACCGTCTTGCAGGGCATGTTGATACCCAGGGCCAGTGTCCCCGTGGCTATGACCACACGCAAGTAGCCCTTGCGGAACAACATCTCGCACACTTGACGGTACTTGCGGTTCATGCCTGCGTGATGGACCCCGATGCCTCGCCTCAGGGCATCAATCAGCCAGTCCGGCACAAAGCGCTTCTCG